CTCTCTGTCTCTTTCTTTTTATACACTGTTCTCTTGGACACTTTCAATTAATTATATACCAGAGAAATAATGTAATCTAACAGGATGTAACATTGCGGTAGTCTCTTATTTACATAATTATGTGGATGTATGCGTGTGTATGTGCGTTTGTGTATACATGTATGTTTGTTTATGTGTGTGTGTATTTTCTTTTTTTCTCTCTCTTTTTTTTTTTTTTTAATACACGCATAGGGCCAAAAAATTCATTATTGCATTTTGTTCGATATTTATGTAATTTTCTTTGTTTTTAAATATAAATTATTGCTATATCATCGATATATTATATTAATATTTAATGTTATATATGTGTATAGTAATGTATATATTATTATATATAGGTATATATATATATATATATTTTGGTATAATATTATTATAATATATTGTATTAACTTTTATTATGATAATATACATATTTTTATATTGTATCGTATTAATATAAACTTTCAATATAATTGAATATGATATAATAGTGTGCGTTTAGTACGCCCTTTATTATTTAGTATATTATACTATAATATATTTTATTTAATTATATCGTCATAACTGATATTATTGTTATATTACATAATATATATAAAAAAAAAATAAGAAAAAGAAATAATAATTATACTAGTACAATATGATCAACATTATGTTATAACTTTTATCACATTATACTTACGTAATATTTTTTTTAAATACATTTATATATATATATATATATATATATATATATATATATACATGTGTAAAATTCCCCAAGAAGGATAAAAAAAAAAAGAACATTGAGGTCGACAATTATCTGTGCGATTCTGATATTATGTTATAATTGAACTACTGTCAACATATTTTTATATTCTTATAAATCATCATAAAAAAAAGTGAAGCAGAAGAAAAATCATTTAAATCTCGTCGGCGTTCTTATCATTCGTTACGTCATATCTCTCTCTCTCTCTCTCTCTCTCTCTCTCTTTTTTCTCCCACCTCTTTTTCCTTCTCTATTCCTCCTCTTCCTCTTTCTCACTTTGACGTTTCATATATACAAAGTTAAATACATTTATGAAAACATCGCTGCTGTTGTCGTCGTCGTTGTTGTCGTTGTCGTCGTCGTCGTCGTCGTCGTCGTCGTCGTCGTCGTCGTCGTCGTCGTCGTTGGCCGGCTGGCACGCGCCGTCGTGTCGTCTGTAATTCAATCGGCTATTTCGTCGGCTCAAAGAAGATGAGACTTCTCGTTTAAAACCGGGCGTAGGTGGTGTTGGGGGGAGGGGTGCAAGGATAGGGGTTAGAGAGGGGTTACGAGTGGTATGAGTATAGGTGAGGGATGAAGAGACGAGGCTAAAGGGTGTTCGAACAGCCATATCAGCCACTCTAAAAGGGCTTAATTCACGCGAGCAACTGTGACAAAAAAATAAGACATTTTCAACCGCTGATCGTCCTCTCTCTCTCTCTCTCTCTCTCTCTCTCTCTCTCTCTCTCTATTTTTCTTTATCTTTCTCACTCATTCAGCCCGTTTACTCCTCTCCCCTTTCTTCTTCTTACACCGTTCCTTTAATACCCATGACTCTTTATTTTCTTAGCCGGCTACCCATAGTCCCTGGCAGATGCATTTTTACATATTCTTATCCTTGTTCCTCTTCTTCTTCCTTCTTCATTCGTTCTTCCTTATCCCTGTCTCTTTCTCTCTCTGTCTCTCTCTCTCTCTCTCTGTCTCTCTCTCTCTCTCTCTTTGACTACGTCTCTCTTTTGAAAATATATAGGAGTAACGCGATACGTCTTAACGTTAACCCTCTAACGTCAACTAATTCTCATTGTTGAGACTATAACCGTAACGTTATTCCCTTTAATATTTTTACTTTAATGTTAGTTAAATTCGAAACTTTTTGTTTTCAATGATAATTTTCTCTTTACCCCTTTTTATTTTTCTTTCCTCTACTTCTTCTTAATCTTTTTATTTTTGTATATTCTTGCATTTCTTATTTCGATGATTTCAATTTTGTTACGTCGCATCATATTCGTTGTTCTTCCATTTTTTATTTTTTTATTTTTTAAAGCTTGTCGTTATATTCTTTTCTCTCTCTCTCTCTCTCTCTCTCTCTCTCTCTCTCTTTGTCTTGTTTTTTTTCGTTTTTTTTTTTTTTTTATGTGTAGAGTTAACTTTGGTGATAAGTTAACTTTTGTAAAGTTATTTTTCTCACATTACTTCTTCGATCATTACTGAGATACGAAATTTGTTTCTTTTCCGGTTTATTTTATTTTATTTTATTTTATTCTATTTATTTATTTATTTGTTTCTATATATTTTTTTCTTTTTTGAATCCAATTATTTTGTATCGAATGTTCGATGAGTTTCAATCTGAGATGAATGTAATGAAAGAAAGAAAAAAAAAAAAAAAGAAACAAGAATAAGATTTCTCATTAGTTGTATTGTATTTACGATGTGATTATATTTCAATGAACATTCGAGATATCTTATAAATTG